AAAATAAATAAGTTCAAGGTCAATCCCTTTTCAGTCTGTTTTCCAGAAGTTAATGATGACAGTGATCACTAGGCTATTCTTGAACATTAACATTATCTACCCATAGCAAGGTTTCTAAGGATGACTTGGACCATGGTGAGGGAACCTAACACCTAAGGGGCCTGTCTTTAATTTGGAGAATACATGACAAATTATTAGAAAATATATTCATGGAACGATAATAGAAGTCACGTTGCTCGTATATGTGGTTGAGATGATTTTATGTTGCTAGATTAAGACCCGCAAAAGGCCAACAAACCATGGATTGAACCTGAATACTAATAATCCATTTGCCCATGGGTCGGCTTGACCTTTCATGTGAAGGCCCGTTAGTCCAACGAGTAGGTTGATGGGCCTTCTTGTTTGTTACCCACCTCTGTCCGCTTGGCTCCACCCATCGGCCAGCAAAAATGCAAAATATAGAATTTTTTATTACTTTGATTTTAGTGTCGGAAATAAAGCAATCTGATTGAGTGATTCTCTGTCGCAACATTACTAGTGATACGATGACATACCATAGTTACTAACAGGTCACGACCCAATAACTCAAACTCATAATCAAGCAGAGCGATGGCCCAGGCTAGAAGCCCGCTGTCCTGGTCCGACCAGATGCCAAATATTATCCCGATCCAACCGCTGTCCCGGTCCGACAAGAACCTAAGCACATCATGGCAATTGTTTTGTACCACACTATTCAGGTTTCCCACGGGAAAATTGCGAAGATAATGTGCAATTTTTTTAGGGCGTATTGAAAGATCAAGTACCAAGGCACATAGTTACTTCACCGAAAAAACAGTACCAAGGCACATTGTTTTCAGCATTTTATTCTGTGGCGTGAGCAATGAATTAGAGAGGAAGAATGGAGTATTATGCTTTGTTTTGTAGGAATAATGGAAAATAAGAGAAATATATTTTTTATCTTTCAAAGATAGAAAGTAAAAATGATACATTTTTCTTCTTTTGTATTTGATTGGATTGTNTATACATAATATATAGACAAATAAGATACATCTTAACACAAATAATTAACTTTTCATTCACTTTCTTTTCGATTTTGGAAGGATTGATTTTGGTGAGTTGAAATAAAAGTTAATTCATCCACTTTTTGATCTTTCCTATTTTTCTTCCTTACCAAACATGATGTTTTATTTATCCCTCTAATTTTTCATCTTTCCATCATTTCATTTTTCTAGCATACCAAACAAAGCATTAATATCGATATTGTACTGAAATTTATATCTTTTTTTGTGGTTAAGTTACATATGAAGTAATAGTTTAAAAATAAAAAAGTGATGAAATATATAATTTTAAATGGTAAAATTATTAATTTTTGGAATCAAATTATATATTTTAAATGGAAAGTTGCAATTAAGCCGAAATATTCATGATCTATTATATTATCTTTAAAAAAATGTATAAATTAACCTTAAAATTTAATAATTTTAGATAGAATGTTTATTTTTTTTTCAATGTTCAGTGGTGTCTAATTTAATTTACGCATATTTTAATTAATTTTTTTTTTAATTTGATCGAAGATAAGTCATCTACATTAAAACAAAAAAAAATATGAGAAACAAAATTTTTAAAATTTAATCTTAAAAAATTCTCAAAAATTTAATCCAGAATGATTAAATTTACTGTTCGTGAATTATTTTAGATAAAATTTTTCTTCTAATAATCATTCAATTGTCAGAGTTTGTCAGTAGTAGTTAAGAGATGAGATCAACATCGGTTACACCAAACTCTGGGGCCCACATTTTGACACCTAGAAAGTTTTGTTGGGGANAAATAGTAATATTCAAATACAAAAAAAAAAGTTACTATAAATTTGAATAATAAAATTCAAATTCATGTTACTATTTTTTTTTAATTATGTCACTGTTCATGTTACTGTTTTTGTTGAATATATTACTGTTCATGTATTATTATTTTTGAGCATGTTATTGTTTTTATTAAGTATGTTACTACTATTATTTTCTTAAATATTAATATTCAATGTTACTATTTTTTTTAATATTACTATTTTTTGTATTTGAATAATACTATTTTTTGCGTTTGAATTTGAGAGAAATAATTATTGTTAAGTATGTTACAGTTTTTGTTAAGCATGTTACTATTTTTGTTGAACATGTTAATATTTTTGTTGAACATGTCACTGCTGTTATTTTTTTAAAATATTAATATTGAATGTTTCAATTTTTTTATGTTTAAATGTTACAATTTTTTTGTTTTTAAATGTATTATTTTTTATGTCTAAATGATAACTTTTTTTTGTATTTGAATATTACTATTTTTTATTTTTAATATTTTTTATTTTTTATCTATATATATATCCTACAAATAGATAGGTAAGAGAGAGGAAAAATTTAAATGTTAGTCAAACTCTTAACTTATATATGGATATAGATAGATATAAGAGAGAAAATATTTTAATATTAGTCAAATTTATAAGATATAAGAGTTTTTAATTTTTAGTTTTATTTCACTTTTAAAGGAAAAATGGATAGTATGGTAAAATGGACAAAAAATGGACTTCATAACAAATAAGTTTCCTTGACGGACTTAAGTCANCCGGGGTGCAATTTTTCGAGGTTGGAATCATTGGTGATGTTTATTACTTAATATTAGTAGTTACCTTGACAACAAAGAACTAATTGATTTTGATGTTAAACAAAGTGGTGGTGGGTAGTAACATTCAATAAATATACCTAGTAGGGTCCATTCATAATCTATATATATATACACACACACACACTTCGGACAGGAGAAATTATTCCTTAAAAAAATTGTTAATCACATAACGCGAGTAACGTTTACATTCATGTTAGTGTGTGATGTAATATAGGTGACGACAATTTTGGTAAGTAAATTTGAAAATGGTCAATTGGATTTATTACTTTTTAATGAAGCTCATTATAGTGGATTTTACAGAATTTTTAATTAATTTTATTTTTTATATTAATATTAACTATTTTTTTAATATATTCAAGAGACTATTCTCTCTTAAAATTAGAGAAAGAGAGTTAAAAGTAGAATAATGATTTGATTTTTTTTTTTTTTAATTTGATATGAATTTTGAGTTCAAGCTTCTTTTTTTTTGTTACTTTTGATTTTTTTTTAGATATTTAATATTTAGATTGGGCTATGGGCCTAAATGATTGAAAATA